AGCTTTCAGGCAGAGGGTGCCCACTCAGCCCTTCCCCTGCTGCCTGGAAGGTGAGGAGGCTCTCTTTGGACCTCTGAGACCCTCTCCCAGATTGGCCTCATCAGAGGGCAGAGCTTTTCTTCCAGGCAAAATGTTGAAAGAGGCAGCAGTGTGGGCAAGCTCCCCATCTCCCCCTGCCCTGCCTCCCCAACTCTCACCCTTGCCCTCTGGGATTGTCCTCTAGCTGAGGGGCCTTGCCTCTCCTCTCCCCCTTTCTCTGCCCTCCTCTCCAGCAGAGGGTTGTTTATGTGGCATCCCTCTCTTCTCCTGATCTCTCCATGGAAATTGCTCTGCTCAGGGTCTCCAGGGACCTGCACACAGGGCTGTTCATGTCACTCCCAGTCCTTACTCACTGCGGCAACCTTCCAATTGCTCGGGCCAAAACGCTGGATGTCATTTTTGATTACTTTCTTTCTCTCTCATCCTCATCCCAACTTGCTGGCTTTACCTTCAAGATCTACCCAGAATCCAACCACTTCACACACCTGTAGTGCTGCCCAGGGTCCAGCCCCTGCCTCCTCTGGAGAACCTCCTCACTGGTCTCCTTGCTTCTGCCCTTGATCTCCTATGATCTATTCTCAACAGAGCAGCCAGAGATTCATAAGTCAGGTCACGTCACTCCTTTGCTCAAAACCTTCCAGTGGCTCTCATCTCACTCGTCAAAGCCCCAGTCCATACAACGACCTCCCTGCCCTCTGCTATCCTCTCCCACTCCTCTCCCTCTTGCTCATGCTTCTCCAGCCACACCAGCCTCCCTGCTCATTGAACAAGCCAGAGACACCGCTGCCTCAGGGCCTTTGCACTTACTGTTCCCTCTGCCTTGCAATCTCTTCTCTACATGCCCACATAGCTCACTCATCTACCTCCTCAGGTGTCTGTTCAAACGTTGTCATGTCTGTGAGGCATTTCCCAGAATTCCCTATTTGCCTTGTACAGTAGTGCTTTATCCCTTCCCCCCAGATTGTATACTACTTCTATTTCCTTTTTTATTTTAATCATCTGTCTTCCTCCCCCTCCCTCCCCCACTAGAATATAAAGCGCCATGAGGGCAGAAGCTCTTTTCAGCTTAGTGATGTGTCCCCAACATTCTTAGAACAATGCCTGTCTCATTGAAGGTTCTCCATCAATAGTTATTGGGTGGATGAAGAGGGCACCTGGGTTCTGGACCTGGCTCTGTCACCACTTGGCATTGTGAACAATTTTACAGATGAGGGAGCAGGTTTGAGAAACTAAGTTACTTGTCTGGGAGCCAGGGCTAGCACCTGGGCTGTCTGGCCCTCACCCACACCTTCCAGTGCTTCCTTGACCTTCTAACCAGGGGCTGGGTGTGGGGAGAGCACTAGGAGTGCAGCCCCATGGGCTCCCGCACCTGTCACTGAGGGGGTCTGGGTCGGGGGAGGCTCTGGGCCCAAAGAATCGATGGTGCTCCTCTGCTTGCAGAGGGGATTGGGGCCTCCTGCAGCAGCCACCAGCCCTGGGGCTTGCCAGCTCCTTGAGCCATGTGGATGCCCCTGGCCTGGCCAGCTGCCCCCTTGGCAGGCAGGAGTCTCTCAGTTTCTCTCACTGTGTGGAGCTCAGCTGCAGGGCTGAGGGAGTCTCCTCCTTCCCCACGATGCCACAGGCCCCCATTGATGGCAGGATCACTGGTGAGTAGGAGGCTGTGCTCCCCTGGCACACAGGAGGGAGGTGTGCTGAGGCTGAGTCCCAGAGTGGGGTGGGTGACAAGGAGGAGGGTTATTTTGATCTGGGGAATGAGAGGGTCTGTGCTTGGCAGTGGTGTGTGGAGTGACTCTCCTGTGTGCTGGTCACAGTCTGGTCACAGCAGGCAGAAAGTGCTGCCCGGGATTGCCAAGCCCACCCTATGTCCAGGCCAGGGACGATTTACCAGTCATAGGTGAGACAGTCAGACTGGCCTAGAGTATGCCCCCTCCCCCTTTAAAACTTTATTTTTATAATTAATTTTTAAAAATTAATTTATTTTTGGCTGCTTTGGGTCTTTGTTGCTGCGTGCGGGCCTTCTATAGTTGTGGCAAGCGGGAGCTACTCTTTGTTGCAGTGCGCGGGCTTCTCATTGTGGTGGCTTCTCTTGTGGAGCACAGGCCCTAGGCATGTGGGCTTCAGTAGTTGTGGCTTGCGGGCTTAGTTGCTCTACGGCATGTGGGATCTTCCCAGACCAGGGATCGAACCAGTGTCCCCTGCTTTGGCAGGCGGATTCTTAACCACTGCATCACCAGGGAAGCCCAAAAACTTTATTTATTTTTAAATAGTTGAGTGTTTACTATGTGCCAGGCATGGTTCTAAGGCTTTTATTTAACCCCACAACAGCCCTCTGAGGTTGGTATTGTTATTAGCCCCATTTTACAGGTAAGGAAAATGAGGCACAGGGAGGTTAAGTGACCTTCCCATGGTCACACAGCAGTAAGTGGCAGAATTGAAGTGTGAATCCAGGCAGTCTGACTCTAGGGCCTGAGCTCTAATCAGGTGATATACTTCTCCACACTCATTGTTAAAGGACTGACTAACAGACAGGTAACCAGATGGACTGACAGATAAGCTGACTGCATTCCCAAAGTGTGTTTTCTAGTCATGGTGGGGCCACTACGTTTATCCTAAGACACCACAGAGGGGGCAGAAACTTAGCTCCTGGGTTGAAAGTGACTGGGAGTCACTGAAACACAGTTATTTAATTTTAATATAATGCTTAACATTCTTTGAGCACTTACTCTGTACCAGGCACTGTGCTAAGGGTCTTTTGGTCCATTATGTTACTTAATCCTCACATCACCCAACACGAGGAAACTACGGCTCAGAAGAAGTCCGGTAACCTGCCCCCCCCATGCCCGAGCCAGGTGGCCCAGGTGGGACTTAAGAGCTTGGGCCCAGGCTCCCTCTGCCACTTGCCCTTCATGATAGCACATTCGATTTTCCAGAACCTCCTGCTAGGGTGCTGGCTGGATAGGATGGATGTTACAATCCTGATTTAACAGAGATCTGGGAGGTTGAGTGACTGGGCCAGGGGCAGAGAGGGACCTGGAGACAGGGTTCCAGCCTCCAGCCACTGGCCAGTGCCCAAGCCACCTGCCCCTGGGCGAAGGGCGTTGGCTTTGGTGTCTGAAGAGCTGGGTTAGGCTCCCCATTCCACCTGCTCCTTAGGAGCCTGGTGACTGGGATATGTCCATACCTCTCTGAGCCGATTTCCTCATCCCTTCCTGGGGGTAAAGGTCTCCACCTGTTAGAGTCAGGATGATTGAATGAGACGAGTAATGAGGCCCCACGTGTGGCTGTTTCTGTTAGTGCCGTCGTCTTCACCATCCCACTGCACGCCTGGGCCCCGGCTTCGAGAGCCCCAGCGCACATTTCTCATGCTTGTCCTCACAGCTCCATGAAGGCGCCCCGTCTGCATCCTGTGTGCTCAACTGCAGACTGCCAGCTGCTGTGGGATTACAAGTATCAGCTGCTCTCTGACACCTGGTATGAGCCCTACATCAAGTGGGAAGACAGTAATGCCAAGATCTTCTGAGTTGTGGATCCAAATGGGATTGCCAGATTCTGGGGAAACCACAAGGTGAACCTCAGCCAGCAGGCAGGATGGTCTCAACACAACACATGACAGGGCAGGGGTCACAGTGGACCCCTCAGCACTAGGGGACAGGCCTCAACTGATGGGAGCTTCACCAGCAGCCCCAGAAGTGTTGGGATCATTTTTTTCTTAAATATTTTTCATTTTTAAAAAAATTTTATTTATTTAGTTTTTATACAGCAGGTTCTTATTAGTTATCTATTTTATACATATTAGTGTATATATGTCAATCCCAATCTCCCAGTTCATCCCCCCACTCCCCACCCTCACTTCCCCCCTTGGTGTCTATACATTTGTTCTCTACATCTGTGTCTCAGAAGCCTTGCAAACTGGTTCATCTGTACCATTTTCCTAGGTTCCACATATATGCGTTAATATACGATATTTGTTTTTCCCTTTCTGACTTACTTCACTCTGTATGACAGTCTCTAGGTTCATCCACGTCTCTATAAATGACCCAATTTCATTCCTTTTTATGGCTGAGTAATATTCCATTGTATATATGTACCACATCTTCTTTATCCATTCATCTGTCAATGGGCATTTAGGTTGCTTCCATGACCTGGCTATTGTAAATAGTGCTGCAGTGAACATTGGGGTGCATGAGTCTTTTTGAATTATGGTTTTCTCTGGGTATATGCCCAGTAGTGGGATTGCTGGGTCATATGGTAATTCTATTTTTAGTTTTTTAAGGGACCTCCATATATTCTCCATAGTGGCTGTTGTTGGGATCATTTTATTTTGGGAGATTCTGAGGGACAGGCAGTTACATCTTGAGGGTGGGGACTGTCCCTGGAACTCAGGAATCTTGCCTTCTAATTGCTTAATTCCACCTTTGCTTAGCATTTGAGGCTTTCAAAGCACGCTTACATGAATTGTGCATCATTTGCTGTTAAGCCAGATGAGGAAGCTGGTAGCCTGGAGGAAGCTGGGACAGAAACGCAGGTCTCAGGCCCCACAGGATCATCAGCTGTCAGGGTTGGAAAGGCCTGGGGATGACCGAGGCCAGCATTCCTAACGTGAGGAGCACCCATACCTAAATGGGTGTCTGCCAGGGGATTTTAGGTGGTTTACTCCAAATTCTAATAATTATTTACTTTAGTAAGCATTAGGATTACAAAATTTAACTACTTTGTCAATCTCATGATTGACAATGGTGATATAAAACCAGTGTGCTAGTCTATAAATAAATTCATTTAGGTTAAAAAGAGTCTTTAAAGAAAACTATTAACAACAATTATCAGGCTTCCCTGGTGGCGCAGTGGTTGAGAATCTGCCTGCCAATTCAGGGGACGTGGGTTCGAGCCCTGGTCTGGGAAGATCCCACCTGCTGTGGAGCAATTAAGCCCATGCGCCACAACTACTGAGCCTGTGCTCTAGAGCCTGCAAGCCACAACTACTGAGTCCGCATGCTGCAACTACTGAAGTCCTCGTGCCTAGAGCCCATGCTCTGCAACAAGAGAGGCCACCACAATGAGAAGCCCCGTGCACCACAGTGAAGAGTAGCCCCCGCTCGCCGCCATTAGAGAAAGCCCACGCGCAGCAACAAAGACCCAACATGGCCAAAAATAAATAAATAAGTTAAATAAATTAAAACAAACAAATAAAAAACCAATAATGATCATCTGCAATATACAGCATCTCCTAAAATGGCACAGCATTTGATTGCCAAGCACTGCTCAGAGGGCTTTGCCTGTATTAACTCATTTAATCCTCACAACAACCTCATGGGGTGGATATTATCAGATGGGGAAACTGAGGCACAGAGAGGTGTATCAACTTGTCCCAGTGTTTGCAGCCAGTAGGTGGCAGAGCAGAGACCTGAATCCAGACCATGTAGCTCTGGGCCCCACCCTGTTTTGTGGCCTCTGGGTAGTGCTGGTGGCTGGAAGGATGCAAATGACTAAAGTTTGGGTGTGCTTATCTGGAGGGAGGGCAACTGAGGCCCCAAGAGCAGCAATTCCATTTAGTGAGCACAGACCACATGTTAAGCACTGTACTAAGTGCTCTCATGGATTAACTAATTTAATGCTCACAACAAATCTGTGAGATTGATGTTTTTATCTTCATTTTATAGCTGGGGCAACAGATGCAGAGAGGTAAGGAAACTTATCCAAGGTCACACAGCTGCCAAATGGTGGAGCTGGGGCTTAAATTGACCCCAAAGCCCAGCCTCTTTGTCCCTACTCTGCACAGTCCACTCCCCAGAGAGAGGAAAAACTGACTTGGTCAAAGTCACACAGCTAGGTGGCAAGGCCCTCATGCTACCCCACCATGCTGTCTCTCCTACTAACTATATATTTATTTGTTACTACTCGTGACATTTGCCATTTAAAAGCAACATGCAATTCACTCCTGGCCCATGGGTCTCAGTCAAGTAGGTGACAGAACCATCCCATTGTTTCTCCCCCCACACCCCCCCTACCCCGGCCTTCCTCTGCCTTTCTCCTTCCCAATGCATGAGAACTTTCATATTCCCTAACAGACCCCTGCGCTGAGGGGCTTAAGAAACCATCCAGTCCAACCTGCTCCCTCCCAGGCCTGGAAGGAGCAGGGTGGGGAGTGGGGGGTGATGTGGGGCTGCTTTTCCTTCCAGAAGCAGGTGAACGTGACCTATGAGAAGATGTCACATGCCTTGTGCCCCTACCATAATCTGAACATCATTAAGAAGGAACCCAGGCAGAAACTCCTGTTCAGGTGAGTGGCCTAGGGGCCAAGATGCCAGGCGGAGTGGAGCTGGGGTGGGGTGGCCTGGAAGCCCTCTGCAGCTGGGGCACGGGCTGATTTGCAGCTGGGGCCTGAATTCCAGATTTCTGAAGACACCCAGGAAGATCAGTCAGGACAAGGGCAACAGCAGGGAGCTTCTGGAGAGCCAGGAGCAGGACAGGGTGGACTTCAAGGAGGAGATGCTGGAAGTCTGTCTGTGAAGGACATGTGGACTCCAGACACCGGGCACCAACGGGTCAGAGACTGAGTCTCCCACGAAGGCAGCTAGCTGTTCCTCCCTCCTCCCAGGGCAGCAGGGAACCCCAGCTGGGTTTTGCACTCTCGGATCAGAGCTGGTGTCTCAGACCTCAAAGCTGCCTAGAGACCTGGAACAGCTGAGAACCGGCAGGCCTCACCTCCAGGACACTGTAGGGGCATTCTTTGGGTAGGGCAGCCCTGGTTGCTAAGTGGGAGCACAGGGAGTGAACTTTCTCCCTACCCTGCCCCTTAGTACCTGCCCAGCTCAGGAGAGGAAGCCAGTCGCTGAGAGAACATCCAGCCCAATTCCTTCAATTTATGGAAGAAGGAAGCAGAAGTCCCTCACTGAGCCTCAGTTTTCCTCATCTGCAAAATGGGCATGCTCGTGAAAACCACCCTCAGGGGGCTGGTGCATGAAATGGAAAAAAGAATTACTACTTTGTCAACCTTAGTAATGATAACAATGATGATGCCTGACAGTTAAGTGCTTACCATGTGCCAGGCCTTGTGCCAAGGGTTCTACCTATATTTTATCTCATTCAATTCACATACCAACCACCGGAGGTTTAAAGATGGGGAAATGGAGGCAGAGGCTTGCAGAGCTGGGATGCTTCCCTCGAACCCAGTGCTGTGACCTGTTTTCTTTTAGTGCCTCTAAATGTAATGGGCACTTCTCAAGCAGAGGCCATAGCCCTACCTCTCTGCCCTCAGCATCTTCATAAACAGTTTATTTCACCTGGCCCAACTCCCTTGTCCTCAGTTTTCAGTCCTTGGCGACTCTGATCATGACCCAGTAAAGATCGCCCACCCCGCCCACATCCTGGCTTCCTATGCTCCTATACCCGTATCTGCCAATTGACCTTGGGCAAGTTATTCTATCTCTTTGGAGCCTCATGTTTCTCATCTGCAAAATGGGGATGGTATTCCTAACCCGACCTCACAGGATTCCCAGAAAACTTGAATAAGACCGTAGTTGTGAAGTACGTGACTGCCGTATAAGGAGTTAAGAAAACTCTGCAAACCCAAAGCTGCTCTAAAGCAAGAAAATGCCTCTGCTATTGGTTCAGCTTCTCCTCGATGTTCCCTAGCCCCCCAGGTACCTCCTGATGGGGTCAGAGCCTCTGCCCTTGCAACCCGGGGGGAAGCTGGGGGAGAAAGGGAAGGGAGTGTTTTCAGTTCATTGAAAACAGAACTTCCTGGATTCGCATCTTCTTTTCTGGAAGGAGGAAATCACCTTTGCCTCTTGCCTCCAGCAGGTCAGGAAAACACCCCCACCGGCCACCCCCATCTGGCTGGGCCTGATCTGGCCTTGGGTCACTGTAGCTGAGAAGCTGATTTGGGACTCAAAGCTGTGACTGCTCATAATGCAGGGAAAATCCTGGCTTAGTCCCGTCTTGGGCCATGGACAATTCCACACTAGAAGGGGCCAGGCAGGGGCCTTGGCCAAAAGGTTTAGCAGGAAAATCCTAGGCCCCTTTAGTCTTCCTGAGACTGTTCCATCTCCTTGACTTTGCTCCAGGATGAACCTATGGCCCATAGCTTTTCTCATCATCCCCAGCCCATAACTACATAAGTGGACTGGGAGGGACCATCGAAATCAACTTGTCCAGCCTCTCCTCTTACAGACAAGGCAGCTGAGGCCAGAGAGGGGAGTGACATGCCCAAGGACATACAGCCCAGCTCAGCGTGCTGCCTCCTCACGGTGCCTCATTTCTAACTGTCTCACATCTCATGGGTCCAAGACATAGAGGTTTAAATGAGATGATGGAGTCATAAATCACTTCTTCCAGTTATGATGTTGGCATCGGCCTGCTGCTGTGTTAATTGTTGTCAACAGCTGCATATCCCAAAGACTATATCTTCACGGCGGCGGGGGGGTGGGGAGTGTTAAATCTCACCCAACGCTGGGACCGTTGGGGCCAGGAGTGAGCAGTGGGCTTGAGCAGAGTCCACCACCCCAGACCCCAGATCCCTGGACTCTCCACTCAGCTCTGGACTGAGCTGCACCCTGTTTCTCCAGGAACTTTAGGCCCTGGTCTGGGATGGATGCCTGGGTGCCAGGAATAAAGGGATTCATTCAGCCTTTCCTTCCATGAACATTCATTGAGCACCTCCTGTGTACCTGGCACAAGAGGAAGCTCTGGGTTTATATCCATTTTTTACACAATTAAATTCCTGAAAAGTAGTGGGTCACTGAAAACAATATATATCAAGATGGATTTCCTCACAAATCATTTTAACAAGCAGGAAATAGAGTCCCATGGTTTGAAAAAGTAGCCAGCCACGTCCTTTTTTGCCAGATTACATTAATGTCAACAGGAAATAAAGAGTTTATGAAAAAAAAGTGAGTGTATTAAGAAGTTCATGATACAAGTCACTGTCTCCATCCTGTCAAGCCATTTACATCACTAACCCAGGAGCATGGGCTCCATCATGTCCACCTTCTCCTTATGTGGATTCTTTTTTTTTTTTTTTAAGATTTTTTTTGATGTGGACCATTTTTAAAGTCTTTATTGAATTTGTTACAATACTGCTTCTGTTTTATGTTCTGGTTTTTTGGCCACGAGGCACGTGGGATCTTAGCTCCCCAACCAGGGATCGAACCTGCACCCCCTGCATTGGAAAGCAAAGTCTTAACCCCTGGACCACCAGGGAAGTCCCTCCTTATGTGGATTCTTGCCAACAAATTCTTTTTCTCTTGAAAGAAAGCTCCAGATCTAGCACTTCCCCCCAGCTTTCCTGAGACATGATTGACGTATAATGTTGTGCAAGTTTAAGGTGTACAACGTCCAGCACTTTTTCCCATCCTAGTGGCCCTGCCACGTCTCAGGCTCTTACTGCAGGAAGCCTGGGCTGATGCTGGTGACCCAACGTCTTTCTCATACAGGATCCTAGTTTTGACAGCCTTTCTTGGCTTCTTCCTCTGGTTCCTCCCTATGGTGTTAATCTACATTTTCTAGTCAAGTGTTCTCTTAAGTTTTATAGAGACACACAGAAAACACACACACTTACAGAGCGAGGTCCTGATGCCTCCAAGCCATCCAGGGTCTGGTGGTGAACATGAAGGTGGCCCAGGCTCAGGAGGAGCCCTGTGCAATGCTGGTGTCAGGTCCCCTCAGTCCCCTCCTCCACACTGGCTTGACCACTCAGTTTGATGACCTCTGAACTAAGCCACTCCTGGGACAGCCCCAAGATTTGGGTGGGGAGTTTTGAAGTGGGTTGTCCTGAAATCAGAATGTGCATGTTTAAAAAACACTTTTAGTTTTTTAAAATTTATTTATTTATTTAGGCTGCACCACTCAGCATGGGGATCTTAGTTCCCTGACCAGGGATCAAACCTCTGCTCCCTGCAGTGGAAGCTTGGAGTCCTAATCACCTGACCGCTGGGGAAGTCCTCAAAATATGTTAATTGTGATCTTAATTTTTTTAATTCCCTAATGCTTGTAAATTAACTGCTCCTATGGCGGGGGCTGAGGGTGGTATACAAAGGAGAGTTGGGCCCTGCCCTTGGGAAGTTCACACATCAGTGGGGGAAGCTGATGAGCAGACTTTGTTGTAGTAGCTGATGAGCAGACTTTGTTGTAGTCCCCAGGGGGAGGTCACTGACAGGTGAATGTGGAGAAAGTAGTGGCTCTGGTGAATTCTGCTTGGGGGGCGGGGGCAGGGAGAGTGTCCTAAAGAGATCACACAGGCTTCTGCTCTGTTTTTCTCCTTCCCTTTTGGAGGGATGAAGTCTGGAGGTGCAGTGTGGAGGAGGGCCTTCTGATCATGAGGGGTCAGGGAGAGTGTGGGGTGCAGGGCAAATGGGAGCAGGGCAGACTGCAGAGGCCCATCCCTGCGGGAGGGCAGAGGGGGTCCCTGAAGTTCATGCTGGGGTCAGCCTGGCTCACTCAGACAGGGAAGAAGATCAGGATTGGGGCTGAGACCCTGAGAGGGTGAGGAGAGAGCCTTTAGGAAGAGGGAGGGGGCCGTCCTGTGTCTGACCCATGAGGAATACAGGGGGAAATTCCCAACAGCACCACCTGCGCATAACTTATTTCATGCGGCAGCTGATGCTATGAGGATATAATACATTGCTTGAAGCCCGTCCACAGGGAGAATTCAGTTGTTCACCCAACAGACTTTACTGGGAAGTGCGGTCCCAGGCCCTGTGCTGGCCCTGTGCACCATGTCACAGGAGCCCGAATGGCCTCTGACACCCAGATCTAGGCTTGGGATGGACAGTTGATTAAAACTATGCTCTTTTCTCAGGAATGAAGTGAAACTGGAAGGAGAAATGGTGAGAGGAGCAGCTGGCCCAGGATGGGGGCACATTCCCCACAGGGGGAGCTGAGCCCTGTGGTTCACTGCCCAGAACAGAGTTTGAGGTGGGAGCTGGGGCCCATTTCAGGGTTTTAGGAGGGATGAGCAGAATCCAACACTCACCTCAGATGGAGCTGCACTGGGCCACTGACGCTCAGATGTTTTCACATCTGTTCACATTAAATGAACTTCGTGTGGTAAGGCTAATGCATGGAGCTCATCATGGCTTCTACCGGCAGTTACAGAGGCCTTTGAAGATAATAAATGATACAGTAAGATAATAAACAAATAATAGTGTAACAAACATAATGAAAATATGCACTTTGGCAGACAAAATCTTTCAGAATCTGATACCCATGTAGCAAAAACATGGAGGTCTTTTTGTTTTGTTTTTTTTACTTCTAGGCAAAGACAATTCAAGGTCACTCCCAAATACAAAGATGAGTGGAATGAACAAATGAGCCTCCTCCTGCACCCTTCCCCCGCCCTCAGGTAGCTTCCCAGTTTGTCATCCCAGGAATCGGAATAAAGTGTGGGAAGGATGCATTCCCTCCAAATCCAGGGATATGCCTCAGCAACTCCTGAGTCCTGTTAATAAGTCCTCCCTGTACTAGTGACCTCTCTGATGCCTGCTGGTGCCTGGCCCAGTGCAGGGCGCCCC